CCCATTCCACACAGTTAAAGTGTGCATTCTTGGAAAATGACACCAGAAGCTACATTTTACCCTATACAAGAGTAAATCAACACTGAATTGTTACTTACTGGTAACATGGCTATGCATCTAATTTGAAATCATTTTCAAAGTCTGTCATATACATCAAAGCTCTCATTGTTATTTAAGGAAAAAAATTAAAAAGGAAAATAAATATTTATTATACTTTTTTCTCCACAAAAATAAGTGCACCAGCAAACTTCACACAGAGAATTCTGCTCCTTTTTGTCTTAAAGGGAACCTATTTCTCAAGTGAATTGCCTTCCCTACCTTATTACTTGAAGAGATTACAGTCAGGGCTGTATATTGTAGCTACCCTGTATTTAGAAGCTGGGTAATAAACCACATAAACAGCACACTGAATAAAACATTAAGACATAAAAGGAGTTAAATAGAACAAAGGGCTAAAGCTTATTGTGCAATAACCATGTCTGACCCGTGGAAATACAAAGGACCCATAATTCTAGTTAGCAAAATGCAGAGTTGGGATTTAAATCAGGAGGAAGCCAGTGGTGGCTGAGTGCTGGAGCCCCTTCCACAGCCTTGCAGAGCCCTCTGGTGGAAACAGGAATCCATCTCGTGGCTGCCCAACAGCGCTGCCAGGAAAAATGATGCTCCAACCCCAAAATAAAGGGAGAAGGAGCAGCATGGGTTTTCCCTGTTTTCTTAAAAGCAGCAATATTTCTAATACAAAGCTGCATTTTTCAGCTCTCCTTTAAGGAGATTAAATCCTGGAGCCATGTAAGTAAGGAATTTTTCCTCTGACTCCAGTGGGAGCAGAGTCTGTCCATAAAGACCTGAAAGTAGAGAAAAGAAATCCTTAAAGCTGTGAAAAACTGCAGTTGATGTGGAACATTCTGCCCAAAAATTTAGACCCCTCAGCAAAGCTGGAAGCATTTTAGGTGAGCACCATCACACAAAACAGTCTCAAAAAAGCCAGGCTGCACCAGTAATTCATGGCAGAAACTGCTCAGCTGGCTGTGCCAGCTCAGAGGCTGCAGGGCCAGCCCCCACACGAGCTGACCTGACAAAATGTCTTTTCAATGCTTCTTCATTTGTGACTTTGAGCAGTGAGGTGGAAACAAAGCTTTTCTGGTACTAAATGTATGTTGTTCCATCCAGTACAGCATGGAATTGATCATTGTATTGGTGTTAGGCACTCAAGAGCCTGAAATACTGCCCATTTAAAAAAAAAAAAATAATAAATTGGTGCTTATGCTTCCCTTAGTTATTGTCAGGGCAAAAGGGAAACTCTTGAGAAGGGCATTCACAGCAACAAAGTCAGATGAACATTCTCATGTTTCTTCTCCACATAGATGTACAAGGAGGCTGCTAAAATAATCTGCACAAGCAGCATCTTTAATGACCTAATGGTAATGAGAAGGAAATTTCCTCCTCTGCCTTTTGCCTCGGTCAGTCAGGGCAATCACTGCTCCAATGAAAAACAGGCTGCAGTCTCCAAGCTGGATTCAAGATCCAAACTGCTCCAAATCAAGGCAGGATTGAACACCTCTCCTCTGACAGGTATTTCAGGGGATATTTGTGATTAATATTTCACAGAGCAAAAGAAAGAACTAGGTCTGTCTTACACTTCATTACAGGGAAGAGGCCTCCATTGTCAAAGGGATTTCTCAATGCCATTCTCTCCCACTTTTCAGGGGCAGGTTGGTGCATGAGATCCAGGCTCTGTCCCTGCCTGAATAGGGCAGACAGCTGACAAATGTCATTTTTTTTCAGGCACCATCTAGCATCACCTAGGTCAATAATTGTCTTTTCCCAGACTAGGCTCCTTTAAAATGGCAGTATTTTGAAAAGAAGTCAATTCCCACTTTTCACCTTAAATTCTCTTGTCTGCTCTTAGTTAATAAAGTTTCTCGGTTGTAGCAAGTACACATTTATTTAAAGGTGGTGATGATGATGTCAAGTAAATAATTTGAAACACACTGATTGTCAGGAGCAGACACAACCTGTCCTTAAAAACCAGCTCCTCTCAAAGCATCCCAGGCTGGGCCCCTCATGCCTCCCAGCTCAGCAGGTACCTGTCAGGTGGCAGCTGCTGGACCTAGAGGACAAAGCCTTTGCTGAACCCAAAGCTTGGATTCATCCCTCTAATGTGCTTCAGGACATTCTACTTTGAAAAATGGGAATGTTGCCTATTGACTGCAAAAAATTTTATCTCAATTGCTACCCAAGAACATGCTAATTTGTATGAAATAAATGAGGCTAATTATTTGCTTTCCACAAAACAGGCTCTGCTAAAAGCTCTGAATTATTTGTTTTCCTGATGAACAAGGCAGCACCTTGCTCACATAATAGATTCCATCAGAGATTTGATTATCCATTAGAAGGTCAATCTATGTGTTGTGTCAGGCAGCAAAGATAAGATGAGGCTGGGAAATGCAGGCCCCTTGAGGACAGACCCCTAAACCCTCTGTGGTGCCAAGAGTCAGATGTAGGGAGCTGGAGAATCAAAAATGGGATCACTGCTTCATCTACTGGGGTGTTTGTGAGGGTTTCCAGGACAAGGGAAGAGATGAATCTGACTCCATGTTCTCAGAAGGCTGATTTATTAGATTATGATATTATATTATAGTAAAAGAATGCAATACCAAAGAAAGAGAAAGGATACATCAGAAGGCTTCAGAAGAATGCGTAACAAAAACCCTTGACTCCTCAGAACCTCAAAACAGTGGACTATGATTGGTCATTAAATTAAAACAATTCACATGTTGGATAAATATTCTCCAGACCACATTCCAAAGCAGCAAAAACAGGAGAAGCTGAGGCTTCTCAGCTTCCCAGGAAAAGGAATCCTGGCAAAGGGATTTTTCAGAAAACAGCATGGTGACAATCTACCACATGGAATCAAAGTGGGATGGGGCTGACTTCAGTGTACAAAGGAGGGAAACTCACATTTGGGGAAGAACAGGACACCACGGTCTAAAAAAAAGTACGTGAAGGCTCCAGCTTCAAGGGTGTCCATTTGAAAACCAGCTCCACAGTTGGACCAAGCTATTGATGAGGAGCAGAACCTTCTTTTAGCTTGCCAGAGAAATCACAGCACATAAACATACTTAAAGTCAAGACACTTGACTGTGGTTGTGGTACCTCTTTGACAGGGTGGAAGGAATTCTGTGTGTCAATTTAAGGTATGCTCTCAAGCATTCTGGAATTTTATGTAAAAAATATGGTCATGATTTACAGAATACATTGTGTTCATCATACAAACTCACAAGACAAGATCACTGCTGCCTTACTACTGGTATTTCCCTTAGGTACACAGGCATAGTGCATCTTGAAAGGACAAAAATAACATTTCTTCTGACAAGACCACTCCCCAGATGACAAAAGCTGCTCTTCTCCAGGTTTGTCTGCAGAGTCGGCTCTGCAATGCTCTGCTATTAACTCGGGACTGTGCACAGACCCCCTTCCTCATGGAAGGGATGCAACTAATTCCCAGAGCAAAGGATCAACATGGGTCATCCTCCACCACTGCTTTCACTGGAGTCACTCCTCAGGCTTTTGCTTCTCGGTGCAGTTACTATCCAGAAACTGTGGCTGTGTTTTACAGCAAACAAAGACCCCCTTCCTCATGGAAGGGATGCAACTAATTCCCAGAGCATCAAACTAATTCCCAGAGCAGCAAAGTGTGGCTGTATTTTACAGTAAACACAAGTGCTGCACAGCCAGGGAAAGCAGAGCTGGTGATGGGGGAAAGCAAGGAGGAGGTTTTGTAGCTCTCAGAGACACAGCAGCTACGTGCAGGTCGGTCAGTCCTGCTTGCCAGTTCTGGAGATATTTTGGTGAGCACGGGAGGAGCCCTCAGCTCCCACCTAGACAACCACTGGAAGCAGCCAGGAAAGATCAATAGTTTGTCTCTTCTGGAGGATGGAGCCTCTACCAAATGCACCCTCACTTCCCAGAGCCCTGAGGGGAGTGGATGCTAACATTAGACCTGGACCCACAAGAGTCTGGCTCAGAGCTAAGAACATTGCATATGGATTTGAGGAGTAACACCTGATTTAGGGGCACATCACAGAGAGCAACACTTGCAGAAATCCCCAAGACAGCATGCAGCTGACTGTGGTGCTGAGAACAGACCCATTGTGGGGCTTGCAGCCAGACTTTTGTCTTCTCCTGAAAAGCAGCACTGACAGGGGTATTTTGTTACCTCATCTCTCTCTCTAGTGGGATCAAAGGTGGCACAGACTTAGCACAGCTATCCCATTTTATTTAGGACTTGCACAGATACCTTCACATTAGCACTGGTACATCTTCATCTCTTTCTGCTTTCAAGCTGATGTCTGCATGATCCTAACAGAGATGTTGCTACAAAAATCCAGTCTGGAAGTCAATCCAGCTCATTCTGAGTTTTTCTGACATTTATAATATGATAATACATCATGCCTGGTAGATATTTCCCTACTACAATAGTACATCCCCTTAAATGCAAGATCTTTGTTTTCTCATTATGCCAGTTAGGAAAAGGAGGAGAGTATCAGAGGCTGATCTAAGCACAGGTCAGAATTTGTGTCAGTCAGTGAAAGAACTGGCTACCATGACTCTGAGGGCTTCGATTTATTGCCCACCACCGCTGTAAAGTCAGTTGATAACAACAGGATTAAGAGGGTGAAGATAAAGATACATCTCAGAATGTTTTTGGATAAGGATAAAGCAAAATGACACAAACAAATGCCAAAGACCTAGCAGTCATGAAGTCGCTCCAAAAACCTCCTGGCAAGCTTCAGTACATAAATAACTAGAGAAAAGCCATGAAAATGTACAATAACTCTTTTTTTTCCTTGTTGGTGGTGTATTTTTAACCTATTGCACTGATTATAACATACTGTCAACAGCCTCATCAATTATCCATTGCTAGAAAGTGGGCTCTCACATGCTGCAAGTGGTATTAATTGGTCTCAGTAGCACATAATGAGTTTAAAAGCTCCTACCTGTGTGCCCCCGGGGATGGTGACTAGAGGCGGACAACAATTTACAGCAGACCATTAACACATAGAGCAGAAAGAGCCAGTCAGACAGAAGCATTGATTTGGCACAGAATCTCATCCTGGAGGCAGAAAAGGAAGCGGTTGAGTGAGAGAACGACGCAAGTAGGGAGTAACAAAAACAACGTGGGGAAGGGAAAGCTGAAGAATAACTGATGTGGGTTATTGCAAGGCAACACTCATAAAATCAGATTCATTACTTGGATGGGATCAATTCTTTGTTAAGGACACTTTATAATTAGAAGCAATGTCTATCACACATCACATTACCCACAAACACGTGTTTACAATAACACATTATGAGTGCAATACCATTCTGTGAATCTGAGAGAAGGGATGGGTTCTTTTGTCTTTTATCAAGATCCAGCCACATCCAGATTTAAATATACATATTCATGAGTTGTGCTATTATTTTTAATCTGCACCTCCCCCAGTGACAGAAAAAAATGTCATTTTTACTTAACACTTCTCAGGACATTTTTACTAAGGCTACCAACTCCCCTGTAGCCTTGCACAGGACTCAGCTGGGTCTCCCAAACACACAATATTTGGGAGATTTCCTGGAGATCACCTGGTTTACTGAGGGTAAAACACTCATCAAACAGCACCTCAGCCAAACATGCAAGGACTCACTTCTCTGCCAGTGTGTTGAAAATTGCATTTCAGAAAACATTTGCTCTAAAGAAGATGCTGTTACTCCTATTTGTGTTATTCTTAGAACTAAAATCCCAAATCCTCCATAATTTTTCTGCACATATCTAGAATTAAATCCCTCAATAGCTTATGTTATGCCATTCATCATATAGAAAGGGAATCTAATCATCTTTTTAAACTTGGTTATGATGATTTATTGCTTGCATGATACATAAATGGGCGTTATGTACTTGAACCCTTAGATACTGTGTTCCACAATTTCAGCAAATTCTGCAAGCAGGAATACATCAAATTAATTAAAGGCAATTTATAGATTTGCATAAATTGAATCAAATTCTGTTTTCATGGCAGTGACATTAGTCTGCAGTTAATCAGCACGCTGGGATTTGGGCAAGCCTACCACAAGTTTATTTGCACCAAAAGGTCCTTTGGGAACTGCTTTCCCTCTGCAGAGTCCAGCTCTGAGTCTTCCAAGTATTTTCTAAAGCAAAATTATCTGTATATCTTGAAAATACCTAAGACTATTCAGCTAATCCAATGTTCAAGTGCTAAAGAGACAAATTTTAAAAAGAAATCCCAAGCAACACATGCCTGAAACAACTCCACTGTCACAACCAGGTGACACACTTGGACATTGTTTAAATTTGATAAACATCTACCAATGAAACCAAAACACACAATTTCCCTTTTCACATTTTGCAGAACAACATTTATTCTCTAATTGCAAATGTTGATAAATCCCAAACAAATAAGAAATGTGGTTATTAATATCAAAATTTAAAAGATTAGAAGCCTGCTACATGTAAATATATTTTAGCAACAAATTCTTGTTTACACTGTAGAAAGAAACACATTAGTGAAAACCCCAGCACCTTCAGCCTACTTTTTTTTTTTTAAATTACATAAATATTAAAAAAAAAAAAAACCAAACCAAAAACCAGCTCACCATGTCTACAGATTTCAGAGAATGAAAATTATATGTAAAGAAGCCACACTTTAAGCACTGATTTGGCAAGAGGGTACCTTTTCTGGCTTTAAGAAGATGCTCTGTTCTGAGCCCAATCTGTTTCCACCCTGAATGCAGGAACAAACACTCTGCTGGCCTTTCACAGCTGAGCATGAACCAAGCCCAGAAGATAAAGACATCACTGCTCCTCACCCACCCTGTAAGTACCCTCTTCTGGAGCTCTCCCAGGTTAATTCAGAGCAGCTGAACCAAATTCACCTCTTGCATGCAGCTGAACCCATAATGTCACTGCAGCTAATGGGATTGAGTCACTGTGAAACCAGCTTAAATGTCACTATTGCTGTTAGTCCAGTATTAGCCTAAGAAAACTGCCTGGTAAGTTCTAAAATCACTGTACCATTTCAGATTTTGGTCATCCAAATCTTTCCTAGGTGACTGAACTTGTTTTTTATGATTTTTTTTAGGAGAGAGCTGAATTTAACCTTAGTTTTCTTGGCCTCTCCATGAGAAATACACAAGTTAGAGCTCATGAATAGGATATCATCATCTGCTCAGCTCCCAGTCCCATCCTTCTGCTGCTGTAAATGCAAACACTCAGATCTGATCCAAGCATCACCCCAGCTCTGGTGTCACTCTGGTGAATCACCATGAAGGCACAAACCTTCCTCCAGCTTTCCTGTGGAATTAAATACCCCAGCTCAGGCATTCTGGACATGCCATTTCTGGTGGGATTTGGTGGAAGGGGCAGATGTGATGATGGACAGGTCCCAAATCATGGATCATGTGCTCAACAGCTGCTCTTTCAGCACTTTAGTGGACCCAGGTGTTCCCACCATTCCCAGTGAAGCAGCAAAACTGGTCTCCATGGAAATAGTCTTGTACTGAACTATTTTCAAAAGTTTTCCCCAGCTGAGCTTGACTCTTTTGAGTCATTAAACGAGGAATGTGAAACCAGGGCCCATCAGGTTAACAGGGTAACCTCAGCCCTGTGTAAGAACATTCAATTCCAGGCATAAGTGTATCACCACAAAGCATCCACTTGGTCACATCCAAACTGAAAGGATGTTAAAGGCATCCAGTACCATCCAAGGGACACATCTGCAGGCTTTAGTCTGCCTTGCAGGTAGACAGGACGCAAGTTTTCAGCCTGCTAATGTAAAGAAATACAAGAGGATCTCTGAAAAGGCAGAGAAAAAATGAAATTTGGCAGACAGATGCAGCAAGGGGTGCCAAGCCCTTCAGCGTCAGTGGGCTGCTGCTTTCAGAAATGTCAAGCCTTCATTCTCTATTGGATTCAACTGGATATTGTTGCTAACCAGAACAGAGAATCTTCAGTGTCATTTGAAAGATAAAAAGTGCTCTTACCTTGGGGACTTTGCAAGAATTTTGTTCCAGTCAAACACAATTATTTCAGTGTGTTTTTCATAGTTATTCCAGATTCCCATTTGCAGCAGCAAATAAGCCTTTCTGCATCTCAGAATTTTTCCTTCACTTCGGGGACCTAGAAAGAAAGCCACATTACACTGCAATTAATGTCTGCAAAGGTGCTGTAAAACACTTCTTTGTTACCAAAATCTTAGCTTCACAGTGCCATCTACAGTGCAATCCGAGGCAAAAGGCAGCAGTTTTATTTCTCTTTTCTTCCGGAGAGCACAGAGAGGCTGTGGTGAGGCACTCTGAGGTATCACTGCATTAACCAAAGGCACAGTTTGCTGTGCATGGGGTTGCACAGAATGTGAGCAGCTCACTGGGCTCTCCCCACCACCCAGCTGCCCCCTCTCCACCCAGCTGCTGGGAAAGCTGTGAGGTCTCTAAGGCTGCCCCACAGTGCAAACACATTTCCACATGGTTCCATGAAGCCTCCAAGAGTTTGAAGCAGAGATTATTAAAGATAGTGAGGAAAATCTGTCACTGTCTTCACAAAGATTTGGCCCTGGAGGCTGCCTCAGCAGAGGGGTCACATCCACAGGAGACTGTCTGGGCTTGTGCATTTTTGCACCCTCTGACCCTGCTGCCTCTCCTGGCTCCCAGCATCACCCCCCACATCACCCAGCCCACCTACACCTACAGCCCACCTGGGAAGTTCTAAAATCAGTGCACCATTTCAGATTTTGGTCATCCAAATCTTTCCTAGGTGACTGAACTTGTTTTTTATGATTTTTTTTAGGAGAGAGCTGAATTTAACCTTAGTTTTCTTGGCCTCTCCATGAGAAACACACAGGTTACATCTCATGCTGTAACCCAGGAGTTACACTTTGAAATCTCCACATGGAAACGCTTTTACAGCAGCTCTGACACATGTTCTGCAAAATAAGGAGCTCAAACACTCCATTTTATAGACACTCAGGCCTCTTTGCCTTTGCTGTTTATATTTGTTCTCTCACTTCCATCCCTGGGCACAACTTGACCTTCTGCTACTGAAAACACGACACAGAGCAATTTGTGAGAGTAATAATAATGTGATCTTCACCCAGACAGCGATCAAACAACCTTTTCTCATCCACCATTCTTTTTATTCCACTCCTCCTTTGACCAATTAGAAATTTGCTGTTAAGAAACACAAAATTACAGCGCCACACTGGAGGGCAGAGCATGTCTGGGGTCATAAAAGCACATAGGCACCTTTCAGCAGCTCAGGACAGGAAAGCCCCTGGCTCAACATGGTCATGGAATCACAGAACCTTCCATAAACAGGTTGGAAGGGACCCTAAAGCTCATCTTGTTCCAAACCATGGGCAAGGACACCTTCCATTGGACCAGGCTGCTCAAAACCCCATCCAACCTGGCCCTAACAGCTCCTTTTTGTTCAGAATGCCATGAGAAAATGGAGTAATTGCTGGAATTAAAGAGGTGCCATGCCAGCAATCTATAATTAATCACATTTTACTCTCTTTGCTTTCCAAGGTGGAGGTCCAGGGTGAGCCAAAATCAGCAATTCTATCAAATCAGCAGTGGATATCAAAATAAAATGCAGGCAAAGGGTTGTCTTAAGAAAAAGCACTACCATCCTGCATTCATCCTTTTTTCCAAAAATACACATTAAATAAAAAATAAAAATAAAACAACAGTGTGCCTCAAAAGACCTATTAAGAAGAAGCAAACAAACAGGATTTTCAATTTAGCACTGAGTGACTGAAATGGTTATGTGGTACATTTTTACCCATTTCATAATAGGATAGGTAGATAAATACATTCTTACAGTGCTCTTGTAGAAATCAATACTGCAATACACTAACCTGGCTTTTAGTGCTTATCTGTTCCATAATTTTTATTAGAGAGGAAAATAAAACCCCGTGCAGATGCAGCTACAGGTAAATACAAACATCAGTGCAACCTGCTCTGTAAACACATGTTAAACACTGGTAAAAGGCAAGGGAGTATTGATTAGTCCAACTCATCCTAATTAAGTGGATGCAGTGAAAGTGACAGATGATACATCCACCTGCATATCTCCAGGCTTTCTGATGCCTTCCAGGCAGGGATATTTCTTTAAAAAATAGAGTTGTATTAGGGGAGATTAAGGCAAACTCCTAAAACCAGCTTCAGCTGGTTTATGTCAATAAAGGAGACAGATCAGAACAGAAACAAGAGGCTCACCTGGTTAAGAACTGTAAAAGGAATTCCAGGCTTTTCATGGCAAAAGTGTGCTTTGTGTGTGTTGTGTGAACTGTGGGTTTAACTGCTGGCCCCTGCCTTGTCTCAGGGTGGTACCTGACTTTGGAAAACAGAGCTGCTTGTTTGTTTTTGTACAGTCAGCTCTGGCCAGTGAGCAGCTGAACTCCACCTCCAACTCCAGCAACGATGTAGAAAAGAAGGAAGAGGGAATTGGAGAGAAGAAGAGCTCCATTTTCAGTATTTATGCATGTGCTGGCCACGAGCAACTCCTGCACAGGAGATCCCCAGAGGCTACACCACTCCCCTGGGTCAGTATTTAGGGCAAATGAAGATTGTGGGTTCTGGGATCTGGAGGGAATTGCAATGGGCAGGTTTGCTGTGCCTTGGTCCCAGCACAATCTGCTCTCTGTGCCTCTGCACTTGAGTAAAATGGGTATAAACAGCATTTCCCTGTGCCAGGGAAGAGTTTCAAGAACAGAAACAATAAAGGTCTGAAGTTATTTGAAAACTGTATAGGCACTGTATAATTCCTTTGACAGATGGAATAAGATAACACTTTAAATTAGGTACATTTCCTACCAATATTTACATGTTGTAAAATGCTTTTTATGGCTACTTTCTGCAAAGAATAAATTACTAAACCATTTTGTGCCATCTTTTATAATAAGCTATTAAATAATTTAGAAAACCTCCTTTCATTAAATATTTAAAAGGCCTTAATTTCTCCATTCTGAATAATTCCTCACTTAAAATACAACTGTGCATCTCTTAAAGTCTCCTCTTCTGTAAAGCAAGGGGTGAGAAGGATAGAAATTTGGGGGCCACGTACTATTCAGGGGATTTGCCAGCCTGACTTTAACCCCAGTGTCAGCCTGGCCAAACTCTTCTCTCATACAGAATAAAGGATAAAGGGAAAATAGAGCAATATCTGATATTTCTTAAAAGAGGGGAGAAAATATCTGCTTAGGTCACTGTGTGTATTTGAAAACTGCTGCTGTTTGAGGGAGCTAGAGACAAAAGAGCTAAAGCAAACACCTACACCAGAACCCATCCTGGGGCTAAATCACTACACACAGTTATTCAGTGACAGTACTCGAAGGGGACTTAAAAAAAGAGGAAGAGCAACTTTTTACACAGGCAGGTATTGACAGGACAAGGGAAAAGGTTTTAAATGAAAAGAGGAGACATTTATATTAGATTTATATAAAAGTTTTTCCCGTGAGGGTGGGGGGGCCTTGGCACAAACTGCCCAGGGCAGCTGTGGCTGCCCCACCCCTGGAAGTGTCCAAGGTCAGGTTGAGTGGGACTTGGAGTAACCTGGGACAGTGGAAGGTGTCCCTGCCCATGACAGGGGGTGGAATGGGATGGGCTTTGAGGCCCCTGCAACCCAAACCATCCCTTGTGTGCTGATGCTGCCCACCGTGGCCTGGTGCAGTTCCAGGGCTGCAGGTGAGTGATGTCAGGGTGCAGGGGTCACAGGTGACTGTCCCTGTCACGGTACAGGCAGTGACGTCCCTGTTGGGATACAGGTCACTGTCCCTGTCAGGACACAGGTCACTGATGTTCCTGTCGGGACACAGATCACTGTCTCTGTCACGATACAGGCAGTGATGTCCTGTTGGGACACAGGTCACTGTTGGGACACAGCTCACTGATGCCCTGTCAGGACACAGGTCACTGATGTTCCTGTCGGGACACAGATCACTGTCTCTGTCACGATACAGGCAGTGATGTCCTGTCGGGACACAGGTCCCTATCGCGACACAGTCACCGCGGTCCCTCTCGCGCTGCCGGGGCCGCTCCCGGCGCTTCCCGAGGATCCAGCGGGGCGGTGCTGCCTCCTGGCGGCCGCGCGCCTCTCTCCATGCGGCTCCTGCCTCATTCCCAGCTCCGCTTCCTGCCCGGGATCAGCCCCGCTCCGTGCCCCGGGCCAGCCCCGCTCCCTATCCCGGGCCAGCCCCGCCCGGCCCGGGGCAGCCCGGCGCTCAGTGCAGCAGCGCTCCTCTTGGGACAATTAGCGCCGCTCATTAACCCACGAACGCGCCGCTGTCGCAGCTGCCCTCGGGGCGCTGGCATTCAGCCCACGGTCACAGCCCTGTCCTCCCGGTGCCCATCGGCCCCGGCAGTGGGTGGATAGAGGGAATAACGCGGCTCAATTCTGGATTTGGTCCTTTAACCCTCACCCAGAAATCTCTACATCAGCTCACGTAATTCAGCTTGATCTGGAGGTTTTGAGGGTCAGTAAATCCCCCTCGCGGGTTATTCCAGCAGTTAATTAACCTCACCTTAAGCACTGCACCTTCCAGCTTGTACCCCCGATACATTCCCGTTGTTTTCCCAGCTGGCACATCCCACCGGGCTGTGTCAGGCCTTAAAGGCCTCCTTTCTGCCAATCCTTACTCACAGCAAGTAAGGGTTACACCAGGTAGGAAGACACTGGGCAAACTGAGAGAGGACTTAAAGTTACCCATGGAGTACAACCACAGAGTCACAGAGTCACAGAATTTTTTGGGTTGGATGAGACCTCAAAGCCCATCCCATTCCACCCCCTGCCATGGGCAAGGACACCTTCCACTGTCCCAGGTTACTCCAAGCCCCATCCAGCCTGGTCTTGAACACTTCCAGAGGTGGGGCAGCCACAGCTTCTCTTGGCAGCCTGTGCCAGGGCATCACCACCCTCACAGTAAAGGATTTTTTCCTAATATCCAATCTAAACCTACTTTATATCAGTTTGAATCCATTCCCCCAAGTCCTGCCACTTTATGCACTTGTAAAAAGTCCCTCTCTACCTTTCCTTCAGGCTCCCTTCAGGTACTGAAAGGTAGCACAAGACTAAGCTCACAGTGCAAGATAATAAAACTTTTGTTGGACCTATTCCCTCTTCCC